TCCTTCTATAACGACATGCGAAAAATGCAACTCTGGAAAATCCCATTTTCAATCCTGCAGTTGCTAGCAAAGCGATAAATGGATACGACATTTCCCTCTTCAAGCTGAACGGACCCATCACCTTCAGCAACTACATCCAACCCATCTGCATCCCGTCCTCGGACACGGAATCCACCCTGACCTCCAACACGGACACCGTTTACGGATGGGGATACCAATCGGACGGTAGGTCGATAGCTTCTTTGACGTCTTCCGCCTGATATCGATGATGACTGCCATTCGCCCTCTAGCCGCTACCGCGCCGGCCACGATCCTGCAGAAGTTGAACGTGAACTTAACCCCCGAGAGCACTTGCAGGAGCAGCGGATACATCAATGGAACGAGCGGCAGCATGATTTGCGCCGTGGGGGCTGGCTCGAGTGGATTCTGTTCGGTGAGTCCCATTCCTTCGGGGCTTTCTAAATTCTGTCCCGAGGGGAAAAAAAAATATTTCCGCTCGTGCAGGGTGACAGTGGAGGACCACTGGCGACCAAGTACAGCAACGGGCTCACCTATTCTTCCGGGATCGTGTCTTACACCGTGGGAAGTTGTGGGAACCCGAACATTCCGGACGTCTACACGCGGGTTTCTTACTACGTCGACTGGATTCGGGCAAACGCCGTTTAAAGAAGCTTTATGGAGAATATGGATATCGGATTTTGATCTGACGCAATTGATTTTTGGATTTCAATATCTTTTTTCGAGAGGTGCCAATGCCGAATTGTCGATGAGGCTCGATCGACATAGGGTGAGTGTTGGGAATGTCGGCACTTTAAGCAAGATTTTCACTTCCAACTCGTCTGGTGGTATCTATTAATACAATGGGGCTTCCTCGTTCACGTTGGGTCGGTTCACATTACAGTATATATCTCCTTGTGACGTCAACTTCGAGTGCCCTAGGCCTTTCCCTCCAGAGGGCCTGGGTCAAAGGTGAAATTGGGTCGGATGGTGGGAATCTCGGCACACTACTAAGTACTACTGTCGTTTACAATGGACTCCAAAATAAATGCAACGAATTGATGAAATAATACCTTGGGAGGAAGAAAAGAATGGGAATGTCTAAATCTTCAGGAAAATTCTAAGATTACCCAGGACTTTCGGAGTGCGCTTGGAGTGCGCCAACCACCGCGAGAAAACTATAACGGCAAATTGGGCTGTTCCAATCACATTTCGGCCACATCAGTTCCACCATCCAAGAACGGATTTCTCCTCGTACCCAGGGGACTAGAATTGAAAGCAGAAAGTTTGCGATCACGAAGTGCCGAGTTCCCCCCCGCCCCCGCATTCTCTACGGAACCCACTAACGTTAGGCCCTAGTCCTAACCGATGGACTGTCTTTGGGTCAGGCCGAGGCCTACCTTTTTCGTTC